TTACGATCTAGTCAAGGAATATTGGCAAAAAAAGCCTACAATTCCTTTTATTGAATCGTACAAATACGTAAGGATACAACTTAGTAAGGACATTTCGACTTCAAGAGAATTACCCTGTTTTAAAATAGAATTAGAACACTTGGACAGCATAAAAGTAGGATATCTTAGAGACTACTCAGAATTCCCACAATATATCCGAAATAACATGTTCCAAGCTGACATAAAGTCTATGTTCCCTAATTACTCATATATTTTTTCGGATGCATCTAAATCAGATTTAAAGGTTACATCTGCCTTTTACGATCCAGATCGAAAATTTAGTACAGTAGTAGATCTAAATATTAAAACCTCGATATATACCGCTGAACTAATAGCAATATTAGAAGCACTTAAATACATTAGTAATTTCTTAAGAACAAAATCTAATTACGTTATATTCTCTGATAGTAAAAGTTCAATACAAAAAATTGAAAATATTTCTAAATATAACAATATTGGATTTAATTATGTGTTATCTGAAATTATAAACCTGGTGGGTACAATGAAATTAAGAGGATCTAATGTAATGTTTTGTTGGATAAAAGCTCATTGTGGAATATTAAATAATGAAATAGTAGACAAAATTGCTAAATATAATGAACCATCTAAAGAATCAGAATATAAATGTGTAATTGAGGATCTAAATTCTCATCTAAGGAAAAAAATGTTAAATTCATGGCAAACAATGTACAATTTGTCCAACAAAGGATTATATTATAAAGATATAAAACCAAAAATACAGTCCTCAACGTGGTTCAAAAACTCAAATTTTAATAAAGATATGATTAGAATACTATGTAGAATAAGATTTAACCATGCTCTGTCTCCGTTACATAAGTTCAGAATTAATTTAGCTGAAACTCCATTTTGCGAATGTGGCGAAGAAGGCTCAATTGAGCATTTAGTTTTAAATTGCTCATTAAATACACGATGTATAAACCAATTTATAATAAAAATATACGAGTATATCAATAAGGAAAAAATTCTTATTAAAAGACCTTTTAATTTATCAGATTTAATAAAAACCAATAACTTGCATATTTATGAAATAATTTTTCGCCACGTACGTGAAATGAAATTGAATTTCTAAATGTATTATTGTAACAGTGTATATATTTCAAACATAAAAAGTTAGTTATATAAGTCCTTTGTTTTAACCCAGTTGTTGAAAGAGAATTAGATGAAGACCTTTGGATGGACCGAAGTGAATGGCGACTAGGCATCGGAAGACGTAGGAGAACGTTTTAAAACCGATATATATATATATATATATATATATATATATATATATAAAAATAGTTTTCATACCATCACAAAAACCTACAAATTGTTTTGTAAGTATGAATACTGTTTGTTTGTTTTTTACTTTCTTACATCATACTTTTTGTAGAGAACTGAGGATGATTTTAAACAATTAAAAAAAGCGAAACGTATTTTAATAAACTAATGAACTAGTTGACGTCTGTCATTTGCCAATAATTGGCCAATCAACCTGTAGATATATATATATATATATATATATATATATATATATATTATATTATATATATATTTGGTTTTATTTATTTTTTATGTATTATATTTTTGTCTAATTGCTATAATTATTTTCATTTATTTATAAGTAATAAATCTCTGTATTTTGAGAACGATTTCCGAAGTGGAAATCGAAACATCAAAATAAACTTGTTAGAAATACAATACCAGCTTGTATTAGAATAGAAAATATAGTCAAATTTTCTGACCCAGTCATGGCTGTTTGTATTATGTTGAACGTACAATTTTATTTATGTCATCACTCCGTCGTGCCTTTCGGGACAGTTACAAACTTCTTTTCGGTATGTAGGATAGCGAATCATCGTCGACCAAAAGACGGATTATAAATACGTGAGGCGATTTAACAAATTGCCAATATTGAATTTGTAAAATGGTCGAGGCTTGCGAACTAAATTTCCGTACATGCTTGTGATTCCGGAGTCGCAAAAGAGGAAGAAAGGGAGGACGGCAGATGCCTTTGATATTGTTCTTATTCAGTCCGGGAGTAGAATAGACTTTTCAAGGATACTGATATAACTTGCTGCCTTTGTCGCGAGCCACTTTGGCGCCCAGAGTTATTTGGGGCAATCTGGGTCGCGAATATGGACCTCGGAGAAAGTATGCAGATATCTACCGGTAAATAAAGGAATATTAAATTTATAGAGTTTTCATATATTAACGCTCAAATTGAATTATGGATAAGTATACGGGATGTAAATCAGTAATGGGATAAGAAGTAATCACGTATTTCTTAGATGAAAAGAAAATAGTAGTGTCCGTCAACTTCTCCAAATTTTCTCTCCGCTTTATAAATAAAAAAAAATTGGGAATGGGGGAGTGGCGACAGAAGTGAAAACTTCTTTAGTGACGTTGGACAATGAATGTATATTTAGATAATTAATGTTTCAACTATTTACATGTAAATATTTATTATTATTAATGAAATTATATAAAATTTATATCAGTATTTTTACATTGAATACGTTGTGCATTATTGAATTTTTTGGATTTAGAGGATAATTTCTCTCGAATCGTTTTATTTATCAGTAGAAAGTACTACTGTAAAACGGGGTTACATTGAACCCGAGGGTTACATTGAACAGTTTTGCAATGAAGATTATATTTTTCTACAAGTTGGCCTAAACTTTTTTTTGGGGCCGATATATTTTTTTGAGGGTTGCAAATATGTTTTTCTTGGACTTCCTGATAAAATTTCTGGCAGGTTCTCAAAATTAACAAAAATGAAATAAAAAATGGTTTCTGAAATAAAAGGTAGTAAAAAAAAATCTCTCAAACTTTGGTCTGCAGCCGGCGATATGCAAAAGATATCTTCTCATGACTAATTTTACACGATACTAGTACCTATTTGAACCTTATTCTACATAATACCGTAAATGATTAGGGTTTTGAATATTTTTAATTAATTTATACAAAAAATATGTCAATTATTTTGGGAACGTGGGGTAACATTGAACGGCAGGATTGAACGTGCTTGGGCGGCGTCAATCGAGTTCCATCTAAATATTATTGTCTGGCGTTACGCTACCTCGTTTTGAATCATTTGAATGAAATTCACTCAGCTCAGAGCTCAGTATAACATTGGTTGGCTTGGCGGTAGGAACATTGTGTGGTTAGGAAATTCAGTTGTGGTGCAATAGGTAGTGTAGTGCGATAATCTCAGTCCAAAATGCGTGATTACGTTAGAAAGTTGGGTAGTCGATCATACAAAAATTACACCTCTGATACTTTGGATCAAGCAATCCGCGAAATTAAAACAAAACAGTTATCACTTTCCAAGGCGTCGAAGAAATACAAAATCCCAAAAGGAACATTAAGTCACAAACTGAACAACAAAAAAATGAAGGACGTCGGAAGGCCCACAGTTTTAAACAACGACGAAGAAAAGGCACTGGTCAAGATGCTTTTGAAAACCGCTGAATGGGGCTTTCCTTTGACTCACGACGATTTACGACATGTTATGAAAAGCCATTTGGATACAATGGGTAAGAGAGTTAAGCAGTTTAAAAATAATTTGCCTGGTATCGACTGGATTAAAGGTTTTCTGAAAAGAAACAGAGAAATAAGTGTAAGAAAATCTCAAAATATAAACCCAAATAGAGCATCTTCCACTAGAGAAGTTTTCATTGCTTATTTTGATAACCTTGAGCAATGTCTAGACGGAGTTTCCCCGATTGTATATACAATTTCGATGAGACAAATTTATCGGATGATCCTGGGTCTGCAAGATGCTTTTTTAAAAGAGGGGTGAAATACCCAGAACGTTTATTATCTCAATCAAAATCAAACATTTCTTTGATGTTTTGTGGAAGCGCTTCAGGAGTTCTGCTGCCTCTGTATGTAGTCTACAAAGCAGAAAACCTTTGGACAACTTGGACGGAAGGAGGACCCGATAAAACCAGATACAACCGAACAGCTCATGGATGGTTCGATTCTGCAACATTTTTAAATTGGTTTACTTCTGTTTTCCTTTATTCCACGAGACATGAAGAAGGAGTCAAAGTATTAATCGGGGATAACTTGGCGAGCCATTTTTCTGAGCAAATTATCAGACTGTCGGTTGAAAATAATATTCGATTCATATGTTTACCGCCGAATACTACGCATATCGCTCAACCCCTGGATGTCGCGGTGTTCGCACCACTGAAGAAACAATGGCGTGCAATACTCAGCGATTATAAGTTAGCAACGGGATCAACTGGTCTTCCAAAGGAGATGTTTCCAAAACTTTTAAAAAAGCTGATGTTAAAATTCGCAGAAACTGGTGAACAAAACCTTCAAAGTGGCTTTCGGGCAACGGGTATATACCCTTTAGACAGAAATCAAATATTAAAGAAATTGCCTGGTACTGATGATACTGAATCAAATGAAAGTTTTGGAAACAGTTTAAACGACACAGTTTTACAATTTCTACAGGGTATTAGGAACAAAAAGAGAGCTAGAACTCAAAGAAAAAAGAAAATTAACATCGCACCGGGTAAAAGCATTGAATTGGAAGATTTTGAAATAGGAGAAAGTTCTGGATGTTCTGCACCACCCACGAAGAATAAGAAAAAGTCTGCTAAGGAATTGGATAGTGACAGTTCCGACTACGAACTAGAGCTTCAGGACGAATCTGATTGTGATTTCGAGACATTTTGTGATGAAATGCACCAAGAAAAGAACGAGGAGATCGAAAGGCCAACAGGGGCTGCAGTCGTCGACGATTATGTGCTCGTGAGATTCGCAACCAAAAAGATCTTGAAATTTTCGTTGGTCTTATAAAATAAAAACTGCCTGATGGAGATTATGTGGTCAAGTTCCTAAGAATTGCGAAGAATTCTGCCTTTATTGGCCAGAGGTAAATTTTTCAGTAATGTAAATGTATATATTTATACATTTACATTACACTTAGTTTACACTTCAGAAAATCAACTTTTATCCGTAATTTCAGCAACTCCTTCACCATCGTCATTGCCAGCAGTACCATCGCTAATTTCTAGAACTGATATAATAGGTTTATGGTAGCTGAAGTAAGAAATGAATAATTTTGATTCGAATCTATTTAAATTCCTTGTAAAGACCGCATCAATAGTAGTTTTATACTTCGTTGTGCTAATATTGCGATCATTTGACATCGTTAAACCCAATTCATTATTTAAAAATTCAATTAATGATATATTTTTATCATCTGCAAAGTTTATGTTAAAAACTCCAGTCAAAATCATTGGCAAATCATCAAATCTTTTTCCAATTTTTTGTTGAAGTAATGCTGATGCGCCATGAGAATAAATAAATAAATTTTCATACAAGAAGTCTCGTATAGCACGTAATGAATTATCCGGAGAAATATAAATTGCAACCATAACAATGAATCGATTATCAATAGAGTGGCAACGACATACACACATATCGCCTATATCAGAAATGGTAGTGTTAAACATGCTCGTGAATGTTTAACACTACCATTGTATATACGGCGGCAGGAGAGCCGCCGTATACAAAATATATGTATACATAATATATCTCGTGGTAGAGGTGACGATCGCGAATTCAATGCTTTTTCATCATCATCATCATCACGTAGCGCTACAACCCTGGGTGGGTCTTGGCTGACTGTACAACTTTTTTCCAATTTGTTCGGTCTTCCATCAACCTAGGGTCAAATGGAATGTTCATTTTCCGGAGATCTGCTTGGATGTTATCTCTCCATCGCATTCTGGGACGTCCGAGTGGTCTTTTGCCTGTGGGAATCTCCTCCCATACCAGTTTCACAAGTCTGCTTGTGTTCAATGCTTTTTTTCATCCAAAAAAAAATTGCTATATATTATATACGTGTTGCGTGCGTCATATACTATTTATATGTGTTGCATGCATCACATACTATTTATATATAATACATAATAGTATATCTTGCGGTGAAAGAAGTTTTCACTACAAAAAGAAGATAAGAATTAATTTATTTGTTGACATCGCAGATAGTGACTTTGTGAAGAATAAAAAAATAAAACAAATGCTTGAAAATGGGTATGTATTCAATATGGCGACCAATAATTTAAGCCTTAAATGTCATAAACCTCATTTTGAACATTTGAGATATAATTGATGGATTCGACCGTTACTTGATGGAAATTCATTTTATGTAACAATAAAACACTGAAAACTTTGTTTTCAAACTTCCACAAAATTTATTTTAAATCTTATCACTACAGCTGTTTCGGCTGATTGCCTTTCTCAAGTGATCTATTTTTGGCTTGGGTTTACAAATTTATAGTCTCTAATGAAATAGGTTGAGGAGGGGAGAACTGTTTGTCTCAAGTTGGTCATTCAGAATTATATCTGTGTTTTTTAATTTGTTGATTTCCATAGATTCTAACAAAGATAGCTTAAGGCCTTTATTTTGAATGTGAAGAATTTTAAATTTGTCATTAAAAGAATGATTATGATCTAGAAGGTGAAGTGCGTATGTCGAATCTGTTTTTCTATTCTTGAAAGCCCTTTTATGTTCTGCTATTCGTTTATCAAAGTTTCTACCAGTTTGACCGATGTAAGTTTTTGGGCAGTCGCCACATTGAAGTTTGTACACACCACTATTTAAGTGTTTTTTATTTTGGCTCTTGTTATTTTTAATATATTTGCCTAGGTTGTTATTTGTTCGGAAAGCTGGTGTTATTCCTTTCTTTTTTATGTGTTTGGCAATTTTTGTTGTTATTTTGCCTGTATATGTAATCGAGCAGAAGGTACTGGGTTTTTTCTCTGGTGGTGGAAATACTAATTTCAGGGCTTTCTTGTGTAGTTTTTGATTTAACATTTTATTAATTGTTTGTTCGTTGTATCCGTTGTTTACTGCTATTTGCTTAATTATATTTAATTCTGTCTCAAAGTTGTATTTTGACATCGGAATTTCTGTTAATCTATGTAACATACTATGATAAGCTGCCAGTTTATGTTGTGTTGGATGGGATGATGAATTGTGTATAGTCGTGTCAGTATGGGTAGTTTATGAAATGGAGAAGTCATGTTTGTTTTGAGTCTGCTAATTTTAAATCAAAATCAATCCATAAATTTTTTAGATTTAAAAATTAGCAGACTTCAAAACAAACATGACTTCTCCATATTTCATAAACCTACCCATACTGACACGACTATACACAATTCATCATCCCATCCAACACAACATAAACTGGCAGCTTATCATAGTATGTTACATAGATTAACAGAAATTCCGATGTCAAAATACAACTTTGAGACAGAATTAAATATAATTAAGCAAATAGCAGTAAACAACGGATACAACGAACAAACAATTAATAAAATGTTAAATCAAAAACTACACAAGAAAGCCCTGAAATTAGTATTTCCACCACCAGAGAAAAAACCCAGTACCTTCTGCTCGATTACATATACAGGCAAAATAACAACAAAAATTGCCAAACACATAAAAAAGAAAGGAATAACACCAGCTTTCCGAACAAATAACAACCTAGGCAAATATATTAAAAATAACAAGAGCAAAAATAAAAAACACTTAAATAGTGGTGTGTACAAACTTCAATGTGGCGACTGCCCAAAAACTTACATCGGTCAAACTGGTAGAAACTTTGATAAACGAATAGCAGAACATAAAAGGGCTTTCAAAAATAGAAAAACAGATTCGACATACGCACTTCACCTTCTAGATCATAATCATTCTTTTAATGACAAATTTAAAATTCTTCACATTCAAAATAAAGGCCTTAAGCTATCTTTGTTAGAATCTATGGAAATCAACAAATTAAAAAACACAGATATAATTCTGAATGACCAACTTGAGACAAACAGTTCTCCCCTCCTCAACCTATTTCATTAGAGACTATAAATTTGTAAACCCAAGCCAAAAATAGATCACTTGAGAAAGGCAATTAGCCGAAACAGCTGTAGTGATAAGATTTAAAATAAATTTTGTGGAAGTTTGAAAACAAAGTTTTCAGTGTTTTATTGTTACATTTGAGATATGTTTATCTTCTAAATTACTCTCCGGAAAACATCATCATTAAGTACACTTTACCAATAATTTGTACTTCACTGAATTCGGGAGTCCATTACAGACAGTCTGTGGACCACAGTTGAAACAAAACTTTTTAAGTTTAAAGAAATATAATGGTTCTAATCTCTAATATAATGCAAATTACCTGGTTTAATTCAATGATATTAGACAACAATAAAAATTTGCCAGAACTATACTCCACATTACTTAATTGTACGCAGATGACTTCTAAATATAATCAAAAACCTTGCTACCCTCTAATGGTGTAAGGTTTAATTTACTTCTTAACAAATGTTTTCCATTCTTTGCGGTTTCGTGTAGACATACTTACGTATGTCTATGTCACTATTCTTCTCTCCGATGTATTTCCGATTACTTCATCCCATGTCTGTCTCGTCTTCCTCTTTTTTCATTTTTCAATATTATTTTTCAATATTCCGATTACTTCATCGAATATATATATATCAATGAGGATTTACTGCGGGAAACTCAACTACACATCAAATTCAAGCACATAGGCAGATTCTAGAAAAGTAACTAGAATATAACATAGATACACACGATCTCTTCATTGACTTCAAAGCAGCCTATGAGAGTGTTCTATCATTGTATTATATAATGCAATGATAGACTTTGGGATCCCATCTAAGTCAGTTAAGTTGACCCAACTAACAATACAAAACGTAAGCACATGCGTTAGAATTGAAGGAGAAAACTCTACGTTCTTTGACATTAATAATGGTCTAGGACGCGTTAGCGTGTCTTCTCTTTAATATTTCCTTGGAAAAGGCAATCAGACAATTAAATATTAGAATGAATGGAACTATTTTTAATAGATCGACGCAAATTCTCGCATTCGCTGACGATATAGTTATAGTGGGCAGAAGTATGAGAGACATGGTGCAGTGTTTTACAAAGCTTGCGGACGCAGCAAGTGAATTAGGACTTGTGATAAACGAAGGAAAAAACCAAATATATGAAAAACCTATGGTTGAATCTAAAAACCCTCGAAATATCCAACAGAGAATTCAAATTAACAATCATACGTTTGAGCAAGTCAAAGAATTTACATATCTTGGATCGCTAGTAAACGCAACAAACACGACAAGCGACGAAATAAAAAGACGCATAGCAATAGCAAACAGAACTGTTCACGGTCTCCAGAAACATTTAAAAAATAAAAATATAAAACGTGCAGTAAAGCTTAATATATACAAGACCTTAATAAGACCGGTTTTGATATATGAGGCTGAAACGTGGACCTTATCTCAAAATGATGAAAGACTTCTTGGTATTTTTGAGAGCAAAATGCTTAGAAAGATTTTTGGCCGTAAATGAAAATGGGCTATGGCATCGAAGATACAACTTTGTTATACACCGATTCAGATATTGTGAAATTGACGACCACGAATGAGATGGATTGATGATGTTGAAGAAGACCTACAGATTCTGTTAGAAGATAGAGGAAAGTTGCCAGCAAGCGACAGAAGTGGCGACTTCTTTGTGAGCAGACCAAGATCCACAACGGATTGTCGAGCCACTTATTATATTGAATCTCTAATATAATGCAAATTACCGAGCATCGCCGAGTATCACCGAGCCGCAAGCCCTTATCTCTTTATTTATCCCTTATCTTTTTATTTTTCTGTACACAGAGCTGGGGCTCGAACTCACATCCACTGAACCATTTGACAGTGAAGCGAATGAGAATCGGCCGCCTAGCCCGCTTGGCTATCTGACCGACATATAATGCAAATTACCTGGTTTAATTCAATTATAAATTAGATAACAATAAAAATTTGCCAGAACTATACTTCACATTACTTAGTTGTACGCAGATGACTTCTAAATATAATCAAAAACCTTGCTACCATCTAATAGTGCAAGGTTTAATTTACTTCTTAACAAGTGTTTTCAATTCTTTGAGGTTTCGTCTCGACATACTTAAGTATGTCTATGTCATTCTTCTTCTCTCCAATATCTTTCCTATTACTTCATCCCATGTCTGTCTTGTCTTCCTCTTTTTTCGTTTTTCAATATTTTGCTCCCCGCACTCTTCTAACTGGTATGGTATCTTTCATCCAGTGTAAATGACCGGACTGAGAACTCAGCTGCCTCTGTCTATAAACTTCAATGTGGCTTATATTTTAAGTTCGTTATTATATCTGTGATCCATTTTCTGTCCATTTTGATACCACCTTTAACTTCGTCTCTAGAGCCTGTATCTTGACGACTATTCGACTCCACATTCCAGTGTCTAACTCACTGGAGGTCTGATACGACCTGCTTCGACGAACTAGTCTGTAACTTAACACGTTCCCGTACACGTCCGTACTGCTT